CAAACAAACAAACAAATTATTAACTCAGCGTTTTGTATTTATTGTGTGTAACAGTTTGACAGTTAAAATTTTCTTTATTTTTCAAGTTCAAACAGTTCTCTACCGTTAAAGATTGTTTGTTTATATTGAATTTCGCGCAAATCTATCTGTGCTAACCGTCCCTAATTTAACAGCGTAAGACTAGAGGGAAGGCAGCTGGTCATCACCACCCACCGCCAACTCTTGGGTTATTCTTTTACCAACGAATAGTGGGATTGACCGTCACATTATAACTTTATAAATAAATTAGTTACATTGCATAAGGTTTTGTTTTTGACATTCTTCTTAAAACATTTGCGGTCTAAGATATTTTAAACTTAAATATAAGGTCTACTGGATTCTAATGTTTCACAAACTTTCGACGTTTAAACCGTAGTTCTGTATCATGCCTGGGTTCTTCACAGGCTCTCTCAGAGTTTCAGAGAGGCCAAGCCACTTTCAGCTTTTAAGGACACTAGCTATAATTTAAAAAAAAAAGACGACACATGAAAAACAAAATAAGACCATCATTAGCTAATTTGTTTGTAATTAAGCATAAAGCTACACAATGAGCTATGTGTGCTCTACCCACCACGGGTATCGAAACCAGGATTCTAACGTTGTAAGTCCGCAGACATACCGCTGTGCCACTGGGGGCACTCATTAGCTAAAAAAAGTGGAATATTACTTGAAGAGAGGCGCATGAAAACAACAAGTCGCGAAACTTAACAAATGCCAAAAAATTTAACAAGTGTCTAAATTTGAAGCCCCCTTTCAGCATGAGGCCAGAGCCAAATGGTCTTCCTGGCGTCCCCTCTGATTGTCTCTGGCTCTTAACCCTTGCAAAATAGAAATAATATTGCTTATTTGTTTTCTATCTGCCGCCATCCCTAATTATCATAGGGAAGGCAACCGAGCAGCAACATCCACCACCAACTAATGAGCTACCCTTTTATCAATGAACAAGTAGAATTAACCATCGTATTACAACGCCCCCACGGCCGAAGGAGAGAGGGGTTTTAATCCTGTGACTTGCAGATTTAGGATTGAGCGCTTTAACCACCTGGCCACAATTAATATTGACTAGAATTAGTGGTGAGCGATTGTCACTTTTGAAATTCAATTCGGTTATCGATTCGATATTTATAAATAATTTCTATTACAATTATCAATTATACTAGTTAAAACATTTCTATGTATATAAAAAAGAAAAACACACGAAAAAAATAAAGAAAAAGCGAATAAAACAATAATAATAATAATAATAATAATGTACTCGTGACTTGGTGTCCATTAACTCAATGAAAAATACGAGGTGTCGCATAAGAAAGAACAGTAAACTGAAATAAAAATGTTATTAATAAATACAAAATAATAATTTGTTATTTGGAGTTGTTGACTCCTTCGAATAAGTATTATAAATACGAAACGGTTTTTACATGTATATATATGTATCTACAGAGTAGATATTAAAATGATTATGCAACTCGTATTCCTAACTGACAGATTAGGGCCCGGCATGGCCAGCTGGTTAAGGTGCTCGACTCGCAATCTGAGGGTCGCGGGTTCGAATCCCCGTCACACCAAACATGCTCGCCCTTTCAGCCGTGGGGACGATATAATGTTACGGTCAATCCCACTATTCGTTGGTAAAAGAGTAGCCAAAGAGTTGGCGGTGGGTGGTGATGACTAGCTGCTTTCCCTCTAGTCTTACAATGCTAAATTACGGACGGCTAGCGCAGATAGCCCTCGTGTAGCTTTGCGCGAAATTCAAAAACAAACAATCTGACAGATTAGAGTTTTTTTGTTTTTTTTAGGGAGGGTAGGTTATTGATTAAAATTGGATGTTTTGTTGGGCTTGTGAAAGTATTGTCACGTGGTTTTAACAAACAATAGCATTTAACAAGCCGTTTGACGTGCATCCTGGGATCTGTATTTCTGTGCTTGCTTTGCTTCACCTCCTAGAACTACAGGTTTCAGAGTAACCTGGCATGCACGTATTAAGGGCTGAATAGGTGTATCCTTAAGGATTTACCGATTGTCAGAGTTACTTAAAGTACAATGTACATGTTAACAAATCCATAAACGGCGCTCGAATTTTATGTGCTAATCAAGTCTAAATGTAGGTATTACGTAATCGAATCCAAACGTAGATTGATCGTTCGTCACTACAAGAAATGATAAAAACTCATTCGCCAACAATGACGCCACTAATTTTATTTAAATTTAATTTAATGGCGGAAAAAATGCTTTGTGAGCTTAATTTGATAAACGTTAGTTCATGTCTTCATCTGCATCGCAAGGAACTTTTCTGAATATATATGAGAAAAACTAAAATACTTTGAATATGAAATTAACTAGCCAACTCTATTCTATTTTTTGATGTTTTTTTTTCAGTGCGTTTTATTTGTTTTTGGACAGAAAAAAAATCTCCAGTTTTAAATTAACAACAGCAGTCAAAACCGAACGTTTCACAAGGATCACATGAAATGAGAAACGAACAACTTCGGAATTGCTTTATGTTTTGCAATTTACATACGCACTACCATTTGATATTACTAGCCAGATATGCTTAGTCCTGCCAGAAATAACCATAGCCGTGAAAACAATAAGTGTTCAATGAATACAGTATTAGTATTGTTTTGTAAAGTAGTTCGAAAAAAAAACCCTGCCAAACAATGAGTTATTGTTGTTACAGCGGTGTATGTGTTATCAAGTATTAGTAGTACATGACAAAGTAATAGAAACCTTAGTGTACAAGGTAGATACAGGTGGCCAACTAGATAACATACTGGCTTCAGGTGACTCGAATGGACGTTTTCTTTAGACTTCTCAACAAAAATCTTACATATACGTATATATTAAAAGATTGGTGTGTAGTGTAGGACTGATTTCACATCAGCTTAAAGGTGGTCAACCAGAAACTGTAATTTAGTTATCAATATATAAGACATTTTGACAAACGTGAACATTCATTTTGTGCAAGATAACATAAAATGTTAGTATGTCACGAAAGTATATATATATATAAAAACAAAACACTTCTAAGGCTACAGTAGAACCATTAGTTTGTTTATTGTTAAGTAGAAAGCAACACAATGGGCTATCTCTACCAAATACTACTCTACCAAAAATTAATCTATCCTTGAAAAAGTGTGTGGACATGTCCCCCGCGTCCCCTTTAAAAATTACGCCTATGTCGATACCAGTTGACGTTTGAGCTGTGCTTTGATGTTAATTGTTCTATTTTATGTGGAAGTTTGGATTGCATGTGAACTATATTATACTCGCGTGTAAATGTACGGTGCTTGTAGACACATTAAAAGTAATACAAAAAAGGTAACAAATCTCGTATTAAGAGCAACTTGAGGGATGAACTAGGAAGCTGTACGCTGCTTTTAGACACCCTAAAAGCAGTACAAGAAGGTAACATATTTGTTATTAAGAGCACCTTGAGGGTGAACTAGGAAGCTGTACGGTGCTTTTAGACACCCTAAAAGCAGTACAACAAGGTAACATATTTGTTTTTAAGAGCACCTTGAGGGTAAACTAGGAAGCTGTACGGTGCTTTAAGACACCCTAAAAGCAGTACAAGAAGGTAACATATTTGTTATTAAGAGCACTTTGAGGGATGAACTAGGAAAAAAAAATCTCACCCATATGCCCCCAGTGGCACAGCGGTATGTCTGCGGACTTACGACACTAGTCAGATAGTCAGAGCACAGACAGCCCACTGTGTAGCTTTGTGCTTAACTCCAAAACAAATAAACTTACCCGTATTTTCTACATTTTATTTCCGAATAAATTTTCTTACAGAGTTCGGATTTAGTGTTATGTCTAGTGAATGTTATCTACATAACTACTTGTTTCTCTTTTATATGTAATACAACAGATGAATGTACACTTGTTGAGTGTGACAGGACCCGGCATGTCCAGGTGGTTAGGGCACTCGACTCGCAATCTGAGGGTCGCGGGTTCGAATCTCCGTCACACCAAACATGCTCGCTCTTTCAGCCGTTATAATGTGACGGTAAATCCCACTATTCGTTGGTAAAACACTAGCCCAAGAGTTGGCGGTGGGTAGTGATGATTAGCTGCCATCCCTCTAGTCTTACACTGCTAAATTAGGGACGACTAACGGAGATAGCTCTCGTGTAGCTTTGCACGAAATTAATAACATAACATAGTTAACAAAACTTAATCCATCAATCGGTATCAGGTGTATAGCACCCAAACTGGTGAAGCATAGTGGTAATCAGGTGTATAGCACCCAAACTGGTGAAGCATAGTGGTAACCTCTATTATAGAGTGAAAGGACTCGTCGGTAGCGGCAAACAACAAATAAAGTACTTTTCAAATATTATTATATACTATACTTAATGAATAGTGGGATTTAGCCATCATTCTTGTAGAGGCCAAAGTGTGGAGCATGTTTTAACGGAAATGGTTTGCAAACCATGAACCTTTGGTTTCATATTCCGAGCATGCTATAACCACTAGGCTACATGCTCGACCTCCATAATTTAAAACTGCTGACCAGGAATAGAACAACTACAGTCAACAGCAGCTGCCGCCAATGTGACTATTTTTAACTTAATAGCGGGATTGACTGTCACAATTCTAACGCACAACAGACGTAGACACGAAAATTGTTCAAAGGTATATCGCGACTCAAACCGTGAACTTTCTGATTCATTGCGCGTCACGCTAGCTACTAGATCACACCCGGACCTTCAGAGACACACCAGAGTTTCATATAATCTCTTTAAGAAGCTACTATTTTTCCAAGTATGCTCGTGTTAATTTAAGATTATTACTCTGACGTTTATTGTCTTTTCTCTTACTTGGCATACTTACAGAAATTATCTTTAGGAGCTGTCTTAAAGTCAAAAACTTACCAAAACATTTGGGTACCACCACCATATTTCTTCGGGATTTCAACTTCAAATTCAATTTTCTGAATATCGCATGTTCTCTTCCTGCAACACAGGATATCCTGAGAGAATTTGGAAAATAAAGTGCCACTGTAGAAGAGAAAAAGTTAACTAAAACCATAAAAAAATAGTGAAGCGACTAAAGGACTGTATAAAGTAAAAACAACAATTCTATAAGACAAAACAATCAATCAGTCCAAGAGTTTTGAGCATGTTGATTCACTTATTAAACTTAGGTATCTTGAAAATAGATTAAAAACTAATTGTTTCTACGTGGAGACAATCTTACACGCACTTTACATGCAAGCTGAAGTGATTATTCCTGTTTCCATGGTAATATTACAAGTAGTTAACATGTAATATAGAGGAAGTATACTTGCTCCGAGGGCAGTCTTACAAGTGTATAACATATATACTCTGAAGTAATCATCCATGTTTCCAGGGTAATCCTACAAGAAGTTAACATGTAATCTAGAGGAAGCATACTTGCTCCGAGGGCAATCTTACAAGTGTATAACATATATACTCTGAAGTAATCATCCATGCTTCCAGGGTAATCCTACAAGAAGTTAACATGTAATCTAGAGGAAGCATACTTGCTCCGAGGGCAGTCTTACAAGTGTATAGCATATATACTCTGAAGTAATCATCCATGTTTCCAGGGTAATCCTACAAGAAGTTAACATGTAATCTAGAGGAAGCACACTTGCTCCGAGGGCAGTCTTACAAGTGTATAACATATATACTCTGAAGTAATCATCCATGTTTCCAGGGTAATTCTACAAGAAGTTAACATGTAATCTAGAGGATGCACACTTGCTCCGAGGGCAGTCTTACAAGTGTATAACATATATACTCTGAAGTAATCATCCATGTTTCCAGAGTAATCTTACAAGAAAACAAGCCTAGTCTGAAGATAATCCCCAAAACAGCTGACTAGTGATATAAAGGAAACTTACCTGGTCCGAGGGTTTATAATCCGGATTTCGAACCTCGTCAACTTTGTCAAGGAAACTGCAATAAATAAGCTAACTTTACTCTCAAGATGTACTTAACGACGTATGCAACAGAACTTACAGTAAGTTTTCTGAGAAAAAGATCAACGGTGTCTTAATTGGTGATTTTGGTCATAGATGTGAAATTATTTCGTAAATGTAACGACAGTTGCTGAAATTAGCTATGTCTTTTTTTACATAATTGCCTTAACGGGTAAGGGGGGAGTAACACATGTGAAGAGTAATAAAGTGGAAACAGGTTGGAAGAAACAAAGACAATATCAGGTGACGAATGAGAAATCGGACGACTATGGGCTGGCAGGGGTAGTCAAAGAACCAGAAAGGGAGCATTAAGGAGGACTGAAAACGTACAAGTTTGGCAGAGGTCC